TCCTTAGAAGTTATAGAGATAATGTCATCAAGGAATAGAAAGTAGAGAAACGGAGGAGTGTTTCAGAAATTATGGTTTTGACCATTTGGCAATTTAGTGCACATCAGCTATCATGGTCTTCCTTCTAACTTAATGTTATTCTCATTTAATAGAGTGCAGTTCTTTTATAGGTACATGAGGCTGATGGTGACCCATTTGTCCACCTAGAAGTTATCTCTTTTTTAAGATTAAGTGAAACTCAATAGCTGTTGCAAAGAGCAGCACTTACTTTTTCTTTTTTTTAAATTGGGTAAAAGCAGAAGTGACCTAAAGATGGTATAAGAGCCCTAGGAATCCCAGCGTTTAAATTAGATAGTTGATTTCATTTATTCCATCCCACAGTCATGCTGTCCTGTAATTCTCCAACTGATGCAGGCACTTGCATATGAAGGGAGAACTTCTCTCTGCCCACTTTGAAACCCATAGACCTTGCAGTACTTTCTGTTTTCTTTGCTCTTTAAATACTGACTAGGCATGTACACACTGACTCTGAAAGCAGACTTTTACTCACAGAGAGTATAAATTTAATCTGGCCTTGGTGGGGATAACGAGTGTTCAGTGAAAGTTACGCCCACCATCTGGGGCTGAATCAAGCTGTAACACCACTGGCATTGGGATAGTTATGTAAGGAGTTTAAGTTTGTGTGCATAGTGATGGATGTGTAGGTGTTATTATCCATGGTCTTCAGAGGCCCAGTTGTACTTCCATTGAATTTAGCTGAGGCTTTTTCCCCGCTGTGATAAGAGAGAAGAGTTAGACCCTATTTGGCAACAAGTTTAAGTTGCCCCACTTTACCTTTTAGGTGAAAACTGGTTTACTTCTTTGTTTTCAGTTTGTCTGGATTTTTTGTGGGTTTGTTTTGTTGGGTTTTTTTCAGTAAGTGTGTTTAATACAATGCGTACTCAGTCCAGTTTCTTGATTCTAGAATGAAACCAATGATTATCACTATGGCCTTATTTAAAGAAAAAAAAAAAGATCTACAGATATGTCTTAGGAGATTTCAAGTACAAGTGAACAGTCAAGAATATGAAACAAAGGTAGCTAATCATGAAAATGGCTTATTTTGGGTGTAAGAGTTTAAAAACTTGGAAGAAGGAAAACCCAGACACCCTTTTCATGCAACTTCTGCTAGAACACTTTCCAATCTCACTTTAAGCTCTCAAATTCTCCACGTTTTGTGAATGCCTGAGTGAATTTTCAGGAGTGAATAGTCCATATTTACTGCACAGCTACGAAAGTGTGCTTTAGTACCATTTTGTGGTTCAAATGCCCATTTATAAACATCACTGACCATCTTTCATTGTGAAATGTTGTGTATTAATATTGCCTTTGAAATTACTGGCAAATCTGTTTTTTCATGATAATCAGTCACTTCCAAAGTACAAGGTATAGCATCTAACATATAATTCACTTTAGTGGAGGCAATTATGTTGATTGCAAAATCCATCAGAATACATTGGCTCTAAAAATAAGAGTGTATGTGGCAGTCCATATTTAGCAAATTGAGGTTATTAATCAGACCCTGTTCCTTGCATATCATTCAACCATATGTTTAGCATTTTTCAGCACCCTTGTCAAGGAGTGGCAAGAGCAGGCAGCTCTGCAAGGGAAGGTGAGCAAGAATGAAGGCTGCCAACAGTGCGGGCAGGAGCAATGTCCTCACCAACAAAGTCCCAAGTGTTCAGGAAAGTACAAAGTCAAACCAGGAAGCCAGGGCAGCATTGATAGGTTACAGGGCTGGTTAGAGAGGTGTCTACAATGTAACTCTAGCTGGGACCAGGGAAAGTAGCTGGGCTTAAGCACAGCTCCTGGGCTCAGGAGGCCCCAGTGGAGACCCTGGGTGGGTTGGTCAGGGCAACTACAGCTCCTTCATGTACTGAGGGCTCATTACTCTTCTTTGAGATGGAAACTCACTGACATCCTACCCAGATGCGCAAGGTCAGGCTACTGGACACACAGTTATTTCACATATGTTTTGATGTGGAAAATGAGTAGTACCTGTAAAAGATGGGAGTATCTGTTTTTCAGATCTTATTGCTTTAAGAGTCACAAGAATAAAACTTCATTTCTCTGTGCCTCCAAATGTTCTGGCTGAAAATGAGTTTCACATTCTTGCTTTCCCACATGCAAATGAATTTTGTTACAAGCAAGCCAAAGAATATGGTAACGAGAGTGTGAACTGGTGAACTCCAATTCCTGAGCTGCTGCCAGCAGCTCTTAAATAGATCTTCAAACATGCACTTCTATAATAAGGATGTAATAGTTAGCACATAGCAATGTCAGTAGATTGAGTCAAAGAGTAGGAATGACCTTCGGGACTATTTTCTTCTACACTAGTAGATATGATGTGTTTCCCAAATAACTAAATCTTGCATGGGTATATTCTGCCTTGTCCACACTGGCACATGGAAACATTTCTGACATAAAGAAACCAAGATACAGGTATTATAACCTTTAGTCTCCTGAAGGGGAGAGGATCTGGATATTTCAGAGAAAAAACAGTCTGAGGGATGAACGTGACTTTTTGAGTATTGGCTAAGATTTGCTCGTAATGAAGAACAAACATTCTTACGCAGACTATTTGCTATGGAATTGGAGCAAAAAGGGTCATTAGAAGAACCCTGCAGGGAAAATACTGCAGTAGAGTCACACAGTGAAGACAAGAGTTTTCTTAAACACAGTATTAGATTAATAGTGTTGCAGGCTAATTCCTCTCTCCTGCTCCTGGTGTCCCAGTGGGTTTTTTTGCCAGTGTTGAGAACTCTGTGATCTAAAGATGCTTTTTTGTTAAAACCTATCCTGACAGGTAGATTCTAAGAAAAAAAACAAACAAACAAACCAAAAAAAACATCCCAAACCAAAACCCTGCAGCAACAGTTTTTGTTGGAGGTAGCAGGAGATGCTAATCCTGCAATGGACTCAAAGAAGTGCTAAACTAACTAGTGGTGCCTATACAGGGACCATGAGAATGTGATTGACAAGGGTTTGATTAAGTGCAGAGAACAGGGAGTTTGTTTTGTTCCTTTTCAGATAGTATCAGACTGGTTGTACTAGACAAAATTTGACCCCTGCAATTCCCAGAACTGTCTACATATTTCTATTAAATATGTATTTTAGTGCTGATATTTTCAAGGGGTTTAGGGACTTTTTTCACTTGTTCAATGAAATAACCTGTTTTCAAGGAAAAGACAGGAAAATGCTTCACTGTGAAAGGAGCTAAATGACAAAGACTATCCCTCTCCTCAGTATTCTCTGAACACTGTACTGATTGTGGATGCAACCTGGGTACAAAGGGTTCAGAATTCATCCCATTATCTTTTGGTGACATTTCAGCATGTGTGCCAATGCATTAGCATAAGTGTATACTAATATTACAGTGCATGGACACGGAGGCTATAGAAACTGCTTGTCTGCTATATTTGGTGTGTGACATGGATTTGTATCTGTATTTGTAGATTTCGTAGACACAGAAATTCGTTTGGAAACAGAGGGGATATGGGAATGCAGAGAATAGAGAAAGACATTATGGCTTCTTATGGGAGTGAAAAGTGAAGAAGTATAAAAGATAATAGACCAGCTAACACACACAAAATGAGAGAGGAAAAAAAGATGTTTAAATAATTTCATTTTACAACACCTGTAACTGCAGCTGGAGTTATTAGAAGTGCTTGTCATCAGTTCCATTGAAATAGCATCCACTGGAGGGGGGTTGAATGTATTTGCAGGTGACTTGTTTCCACGGAGTTGTAAAATATAATGCTTTGACTGCCTTAAAAATCAAAGATAGATAGATAGATAGATAAGATGAGCACCTCCTTCTTCCTACTGATTGCAAGAGCTAGGTTCCTATGTGAAATTATTTCTCTTTGCTCCTGTATTGGACAAGCTGGCAGTCAGGAAACAGGAACATTCCTAGGCACAACCAGTAGATATGTGCTCTTTTTGCTGATAGTAGACACCACAGATAAGTTAAAGTTTTTTTACCTGGTCTGATCAAAAGATTCCTCCATCTGACACATGAGAATGTGCTCTGAAGTGGGTAAATATTGCACCAAAAGGAATTGCACTGCACTCATTGTCTTACTGGTGGGGGAAGCTGTACAGTATTCAAAGTTGATGTGAAGAATTTGTTGCTAAATGAAGTCTATTGGAAATGTATCTCATTCAAAGGTAATGGAGTACATAAAGAATTCACGATCAAGCAACATGATGTAAACCACTGTGCTGTTTATGTAGTCTCAAATTTCATTTTCATTCCTGAATACTTTCAGTATTTAGCTGTCAGTATTCCATTTTATTAGTTAAAATTCTGCTCTGTCTGAATGAGGTGGAGGCAGAACAGATCTGCTGAAGGATTTTGAATCTAGAAAATAAATGAAATAATATTTTTTCTCATTATATCTAATACATGATACACTTCCTCATTTTTTGGTCTCACATTATTTTCTGTTTTAAATATTGCTTATTGCAGACTAATCTGTGTGAGACTTGAGTTTTATCTGGAATGAATTTTTAGCTAAACAGGTTGAAATTTTGTGATTTCTAAATATGAAGTAAAAATAAATAAAACCATGTATAAACATTCTTAAAAAATATTTGACTGATATAGCAGCAGCTCCTTATAAAACTCTTACACATTATGAGTTATAAACACAGAGTTTAAAAAATGGTTTTGCCTTTCTTTTTTAATGTGCCTGTTCCCTAGCCATTAAACAACCTCATCCTAAGTATCTCATGCAGTTTGTATGTGATGTCTGTTGCATAAAGCAGATTCATTATTTATTCATTATTTAATCAATCTCTGTATCTGACCCATCAGTTTACTTACAATACTTTTTGGAATAGAGGGAGAAATCAAAACAGAAATAGTTAACAGTAAACTAGAGATGAAGCCTTTAGATTTCTGCTCTGCTGTGTTTATGAGGTAGTAGCAAATTCTGTGTTCTTTCATTCTGTTCCAGCTGTTTACCTCTGCAAGCGGACAATGCAAAACAAAGCAAGGCTAGAGCTAGCAGACTATGAAGCTGTAAGTACCTGGTGAAAAGTGAATTTCTTTGCTGGGCCTAATGAGCATGTGAAATAATGTTAAGAGCTATAGGTATTATGTGTGAAATTTATTTGGGGTTTTGCCACTTTTGCCAGCATGTGGGTCACAAATGATGTTTGAGGGACTCTAGTGAAGGCTAACTGGGCAAAAGTTGAGGTTTTGCTCATCTCTAATATTACTCTGCACAGTTCACCATGACAGAATCAGAAATAACTGTTCATGCACCCAGATACACCACAGGTGTTTGAAAGCAGTTGCACTCTACACTGTAAGGTCTGAATGAAGGATCTCTGGCAACATTTGCAAAAGCACTTGGTGGTTGTATGTATATGAATCTCATTCTTTAAAGTGATGCTGAGGCTTGAACCCTTATCCCATCAGTTAAATGAGAGGCAAAGAAGGTCAGACTAGAGACACTTCCCACTCCCTGAAACTTCCGCTGTGCCCCAGGCAGGTAAGATAATTTGGGCCAGGAAGAGCCTGAAAAAGTGGGAGTTTGATTAACAGATGAGGATGGCACTTGCTAAGGAGAGAGATGTCTTGCATTCCATCTCTATCCCCCCAAAAGTGCTTGAATTTTTCATGAAAATGTCAACATAAAATTCATGAACAGCCCTGGCTCTGTGCTGAAAGCTGTCCAGCTGTGCTGCTGTGACATGATAGCAGGATAGTCAGCCAGGCATCTCAACATGCTAAATACTCCAGCCGCAGCACCCTGCTGGCACACTTTATTGCTTCTTCTGGCACAAGCTTGCTTTTCAGTGTACTGCACTGCAGGGTATCCATAATTCTATATTTGCATGTCTTAGAAAATTCACCTCCGGTATACAATCCATGAGAGCCTTTACTGGTATTGACAAGATCTCCAGAAAAAGTCTTCTCTCTCTGTGGTCTTTATTGTCAGTAAATATGCCATAGGGATACATTTGCAATGTATAGAAATAGCAATGCTTTTTGTTAGGAAGTTTACAGGCTATTTTTCACTTAGTCTCAGTAAAAGCAGTGCACAAAGGTGACTGGGGTCTTCTTGGAGGAAGATAACCTCAGCCTTCTCCGTGCTAACAGACTGCATACTGCTACTATTTAAACTGGGGGGAGATTGAAGAAGCTTTGTTACAGACAGTGAGGCTGTTCCAGCATCACTGAAGGAAAGAATTTTGCTAAGATTTTACAAATCTTCTTCCTGTTCTCAATAGTAGGCTGCAGGATATATTCATTTCTTTACAGTAGTGAAAAACTATAGTCTGCGTTTTTAAAAAATGAGGATAGCCGTGGAGGTCTTGGAAGATTCCCATGCTACCAAAATATTGATAGCTTCTTATGTTTGTATTTGAAATAAATTGATAGGCAGCCAGTGTTGTTCAGTATAACCATTTGTGCAGATGAGTGATGGGAATTGTCCTGTGGATCATACAGTATGGAAAGTACTGCTGTTTTCTACTGCTGTTAATAGGTACTTTCAAAACAAGAATGTTTCTTTGTATTACTACAAAATTACTCCACCAGCACCCAGGAAATAAAAATGCTTCAGAAATCCTGTGTTATGCTGATGGTTTTATCCACCCTTGTCATCAGTTTCAAAACTGAAATAGTCGGGACATGAAAAAATAGATAGATCTAGTATTCCATCCTATTTGGTATCAAGCAAGGACTTTATATTGGATAAGTAAGGTCCATTTGCACTTACAGAGGTATCATGACTTAAATTACACCTTGGAGGGAATGAGAGGTAGAGGAAAAGATAAGCTAAAAGCTCTAAAATAGTAAATAACTTTCAACCTAACCCACTAAAATTGTGATGTATTTTCAGGAGAGTTTGGCCAGGCTACAGCGAGCATTTGCTCGGAAATGGGAGTTTATTTTTATGCAAGCTGAAGCACAAGCAAAGTAAGTTCCTTTGAAGACGAGGAATTTTGGGTTTGCATGCTTTTTGAGGGGGAAAGGAAGGGAAAAGCAATTGGGCACTTCATATGCTTAAAATTACTGTCATTAACACTATTTCTTTTAAATATTCCTGTAACATTGACAGAGTTGACAAGAAGAGAGACAAGATAGAGAGGAAGATCCTTGACAGCCAGGAGCGAGCATTCTGGGATGTGCACCGGCCGGTGGTGAGTGATGGAGAGGCTGCTCTGCCTGTGAGCAGGGCCACTGATAAATGTCAGCCTCTATGGAGCATTGGGGTAGCCTGGAAACAAGTTTTTACTGTAGGGCTGAGGGTTGGGGTCTGTCTTCCTTTTTGCAACATCTGGTGTTTTTACCATTCTGCTACTGAAGACTGCAGCTGTGTGTAGACTCCATTTGGAGTTTTCAGTGAATACGTTTTTTGTGTCTGATTTTTTAAATCAGAAGATACCTGTCTTTGATTATTGCCATCTCAAAGGTTTCCAAAGGTATGAGTCACACAACCAAAATTATCAGCATAGCTAAAAATACTTTTAAAAACATCTGTCTTTTGTTTTGCTTTGTTTTTTTAATCTGCTTTTTTGCTTGCCAAGCCTTTCAACTTCACTCTGGCCATATTTTCAATCGATTTTTGATGTACATAGAAGTTAGATAATGTTGGATTTGAGCTGTGGGAGTCATGCACTGTCTAAACAAGATTTGTTCAAGTTCCTTGTCAAAGTCCATCTGAAACAAAATAAAAAAAATATAAAAGGTCTTGCATAATCAACTTTGGGACCTAAAACTCTGAGAAAGAATGTCAAATGTCACAAAACTTCTACAAGAACTCGACAATCACACTTTTCTGCTTTACTACAGAATTATGGGTATTTCTCTTACCTAGAATTAAGTTTTCATTTTCTGTGTACAGAGCTTAGTATCATTAACAGTGAAACCATGTGTGGATTATATTGTCCACTGTGACATTGGGAAAAGACACTTAACTAAAACTGACTGTTCTGGGAAAGTAAAGTTAGGTGATGATACCTGTAGAAGAGGTGAATACAGTGACAAAGTTTTAAACAAAATGTAATAAGCTTGGACACAAACAGCTTGTATTTGTGACCATGAAAGTTAAAGAGCAGTAGAAGAAATGGATTTGTAGGCAGGATTTAGAATGTCAGGTAGATAAAGTCATTTGAAGTGAAAGATTAAAACCACCAGCATTAGATGCAAGAAGGCTGGGACATTGTTGTCTAGTCAGTGGCATAAAATAAGGAAGGAGGACACAAAACAATTTACCATCTGATGTTGATGGAAGCTACATATAGAATAAATACAGAAAGTTTCTTTGGACCCTGGAACTTTAAAGGCGCAGACAGCTTCTATATTCACTGCAGAAATGGATCTGAAGGGTTTGAATCTGGGAAGGAGATACTATTTCCACGTTTGGAACAGAAGATGAATTGCTGAAGTTTCAAGTTAAGATATAGGCAGACAATAACAAGAGAACATAATGGGAACAGGACAAGAGGCAATTGAATCTGATTAAGAGCTTTCGTTGAACTGTGGATAAATCTGCCTGAGCACATGTTTTAATCTGGCTGTAGGCATAGCTAGGAAATATCAGAGGCAAAAGACTGGCTTAGAGTAAGCAGTGTAGGCTCCTGACTTTAGGAAGATGTAAATAGAAGAATGGAGAGGTTCATACTTTGCCTAACCAGCTCCTCTCACTAGTTAGTGAAATACTTGTTTTGAGAACATTGTTATGAATTTACTGTCACAGTAAAAGCTAGAAGTTCTATTAAAACGAATAAGAGAGGAACAGGCTGAAAAGAAGATGGTGATGCTAGAACTAATTACAATTTCTAATTTTTTTTGAAGCCCCCCAAAACTCACAGATAGGTTGCTTTTGCGAGGAAGCTAACAATTTTGATAACTCACTGGTCAGTTTTCTTTCCAATATTTTTAATTGCAGTTTAACTATGTATTTAATTTTCTTTTGTTTGATGTCTATTTTAGTGTAATGTGAAGTATAATCTCAGTCATTTCTGTAATTTCCAGTTCCTGCTTTATGCAGAAAGATCTTAGCTTGCAGCTAGGAGCATTTATGGGTTCAAACTTAAACAGGGGAAGTTTAGATTAGATCTGAGGAAGAAGTTCTTTACAGCGAGGGTGGTGAGGCACTGGAATGGGTTGGCCAAGGAAGCTGTGAATGCTCCAACCCTGGCAGTGTTCAAGGCCAGGTTGGACAGAGCCTTGGGCGACATAGTTTAGTGTGTGGTGTCCCTGCTCATGGCAGGGGGGGTGGAACTAGATGATCTTAAGGTCCTTTCCAACCCTAACTATTCTATGATTCTATGATTCTAAAGTCCACACCATTATTTCTAAGGTATAGCCAGTACCTAACATAACTCAGATTATTCACATATATTCACATACATTCACATATATTCATGCATTTCCCTTTTTGATGGCAGAGTAAACATGTCTTGTAAGACTTCCTTTTCTTTCCACCTGCCTAGAAAGTGTATAATTTTCACAGTTTTGAAACTTTGTATCAATAACTGAGTATGGAAATGGGTGAAAATTGGTTAGGAGGATTAGCACATTAGTCAAAAAGCAGTAACAAATTGGGCTAAATTGGGAAAGTCATTTCCTTCCAGGCAAAAGAAATTAAGAAGCTGCTCTTGTTTGAAAAGAAATGTCATGCTTCTGATTAAAGTCTTCATAAAAGAACTCAGAGCTTTCCTGAATTATTATGTCTGTTTAAACCTCCTTAAAATCTTACACGTTTAAAAGGGACAAACAGGTACTAAACCAGTAAATCCCCTGAAACATTCTGAAATCCACATTAAATACAGTAGGAGCAGAGTAGCTGTGGCTTGCTGTAAAATTAGCTCTTAGATAATCAGCAAGGACAGCTGATATCTTGCTGCTGCAAACAATTCAGTTTTCTTTCTGAGTTACACATTAATGTAATTTGAATGAACTCCATAATAAAGGCCTGTTTGGTACTTGAGATTCAGATTAATTCAGAAGATAATGAGGGAAATATCCTTTTCTCCTGAAAGTCAGCTGTATACTTCCTAAGAAGCTGAAAAAACCTTTTTTATCCAATGCCTCTGACCTTTGTTATCATTTAGAATGTATTGCAGTTATATTTAGCAGGTTTGTGTGCAGTTGTTTTTAAAAGGAAGACAGGAAATTTGCAACAGTTTTCTAAGATGTGCTAGGAAGCTACACTGGTGTGTCCTTCTCTTTGGAGCTGGCTATGGTTTAGTTATATTGAGATTTAATACAGTATGCACCTGGGGAGGTTTAGATTGGATGTTGGGAAACATTCCTTCACCGAGAGGGTGATCAGGCATTAGAACAGGCTTCCCAGGGAAGTGGTGGAATCACTGACCCTGTAAGTGTTCAAAAACCATGTAGATGAGGCCCTCAGTGACATGGTCTAGTGGTGGTCTTGGCAGTCCTGGGATAATGGTTGGATTGATGATATTAAAGGTCTTTTCCAACCTAGCAGATTCTATGATTCTATAAGCATGAGCAGTGTGTGATTGAGTTCTTCCGTTCTGCTATGTGTAGCTTGGTTAAACCTGATCCACAGGACTGAAAAACAAAACCAGTATTTGTGTGATTTAATACAGTAAGACAAAGTATCCAGGGTGTATATGTTTGGTAAGGACAGCAAAAATATTAAGGGCAAATGTGGTTTTCAGATAATTCACTGATGATGTAAAATTCAGAAATACGTATGATTTCTGGGTTTGGGAGTTTCATAACATTGTTTCCTAGTAGCAAACTAGGAAAACAGTAATTTTAAAATTTTAAACCTTGTCACACATCCCACACCTTTTGCTTCTCTCTCCATTAATTTATTTATTTTTTTTTTTATAAATTAGATTCTATCTCAGTTAATCTCACTTTCTCTGTTTGTATTTTTAAATTCTATTTTATGTGGTCTGAACATGACTGTCAGCATCTGAGCCAGTAAGTAATATTACCAGGTGTCAGGGTCATGCAGTGCATACCTGTGGTTACTTGTTCTTGGTTTTTTTCTTTTTTTTTTCATTGCATTTGTTTTTAATGACTTTTCCATCCTGTCTTTCACGATCAGCCTCAAAGACTCGGCAAGAGACTGAATTTAACTTGGCTAAGGTGGTACAATCTTCCATTTCACTCTTTGTCTGCTACAAATCCCAGACTTTTCTAGGCCAGTCATTTCTTTATCCAGAGAGCACTTATGTCTGCTTTATCATGCTATTTTCAGAAAGTTTTTAAGCATCTCTTGGAAATGAATGTGAACCATGCCATCCAGCTTCTCTAGTGATTTATCCATGTACAATTTGCATGTCTTCTATTGCGCCTATATATCCTTACAAGACAGTTACCTCTCCAGCAGGCAGGGAGTGCAGCCTGGTAGCATTTGTCAGCCTCAGATAATTGCACTTCTGGTAATGAACAAAGCCTTGTACAGTGTTTTATTTTCAGAAAATGGTTATAATATTTATGATCCGTAATCCAATCTGTTTCAGGCAGATATTTATAAACTTTGTAGCTAGCCTGCTAACTATGACCTTCATGGAAGAATTTGTACTCACATTACTTAGCATTGTTACTTAGTCTGATGCTTGAGTAAGGGTAGGACAGATGGGGAAAAGGAATCCAGCTTTCTTGCAGCAGTGCAACAAACTGAGAGTGCTCAAGTTAAAACTGAGGATTCTGAAGAGGTCAGAAATTGTGAAATAGCTAACTGCTGAGACAGTAGAAGGACACAAAAAAATGAGAAGACTTTATAGTTTCTAGTATGACTGAGTTCTGGTAACAACTAGGAAAATTAGCTGAAGTACTAAGGATAAATAATTTTTTGAATAAGCACAATATTTATACATTATTTTTCTTTCTGTGTCAATTAAATTTGCCGCTTTAATCCAAAGCAGTCTGTGAAGGATCTCCTATGAGTTAAAAGGCAGATAATCAAATTTCTAAATGTCACCTATATTTGCCATCAACATTTTCAGAGAAGCGTGGTCAGACTTTCCTGTTGTCACTTCTTTCAAGTGTATAATCTAAATTTGTCTGTATGGAATCCATAAAACAGCAATTGCCTGCATTTTGGGGTGAAAAAAAAGAGAAAATAGTAACTCTGAGTATTTAGCATAGAGGGAACAAAGCAGATGAATTTAACAGGTTTCCTTATGCAGCAGTGTTACAAATACTA